TTCTGTGCAGGTTTGCACGGCGGCCCACACAGACTGTGTCTTGTTCATCCTCTGCCCCTAGTTCCTGGACAGCGTCAGACGCACAGTGGTTATCTCAGTAGCCAAAGGTCTCAGGAGCTCCCTGAATGGGATGGGAGGCTGAAGCAGGATGGCCGGTTCAGTAACCTCACGAGGCAGCTGCCTAGTGACAGGGTGTGAGCCAAGGCACACCCACTCCTCTCCATGTTCCCAGGGCAGAGGGACCCTCCAGGAGACGCCTTTTCCAGGAGCTCAGGGTTTGCAGCATCTTGGGATTGGGTGGGTGCGGCTTGGCTAGAAAGGCCATGAGCAAAGGATGCTTTGAACCTATGAAATTCTCTCAAGGCAAATGTATTTTTCCGTGATTATATCTCTAGTCCAGCAAAGTGAGAGTGATGAGTCAACAGAGACCCAGAGAAGAAAACTGGTTAACACGGGAGGCTGCCTGGCCAGGCAGGAAGCCCAGCACTGCCCTGCCCCCTGCTCAGGATGCCCCCCGGCAGATCGCCTGAATGGGAATGACAGGGGGCAGGGAGAGCGTGGAAGGTCACTGGGGATCCACTGGGTTTCCCTGGGGGCTTAGATGGTAAGGAATCTGCCTGCAATGCAGGAGACTTGAGTTCGATCCATGGGTTGGGAAGATGCCCTGGAGGAGGGCATGGCAACCCATGCCAGTATTCTTGCCTGGAGAATCCCAGGGGCAGAGGAGCCCAGTGGGCTACAGTCCACAGGGTCGCATAAGATCAGACGTGACTGAGCGACTAAAGCTAAGCCTAGCTGGCAAGAATCAGCCCCATCTGGAGCCCAGGCCCGAGAGCCTCTCTTCCCAGGAGGCTGCCCCTCCCTGGGCCCTCACGTGTCCCCGTGGAGTGTTGGGAAGGCAGCGCCGGAGGCAGGGGCGTGAGACTTTCAGAGTTCAGGTGAGAGTGAACTTGGAGAGGGAGCTCTGAGTCCCGCCACCCCTGCCCACTCTCCCCCTCCTTCACACTGTCTGGCACTTGTTTGAAGAACTCAGGTGCCAAATCAGGGTTGCCCAGAAGAGGAGGCTTCTTCTGAGAAGGAGGGCCTGGTCCCTGGAGGGCAGCCTGGCTGTGGTTTCTAGGAGAGAGGCTGGAGGAAGAGGAGGAAGGCACTCCATGACCCGCTCTCCCAAAGATGGCAGTAGCCCCGTGTCTGTGTGTCTGTCTGAGGGGCTGCTGCACGTGCCCACACACGGACCCGCCCACCCACCTCCCTTCCAACAGCTGCATATTCTGCATGGCGCCAGTGGACCGTGATTTACCTCCTGGTTCTCTCTGGGTGGCCATTGGCTTGTTTTGGAACTCTTACTAATGCATCTTTCAGTTCAGTCGCTCAGTCGTGTCAGACTCTTTGTGACCACATGGACTGCAGCACGCCAGGCTTTCCTGTTCATCACCAACTCCCAAACTTACTCAAACTCATGTCCATTGAGTCGGTGATGCCATCCAACCATCTCATCCTCTGTCGTCCCCTTCTCCTCCCACCTTCATTCTTTCCCAGCATCAGGGTCTTTTCAAATGAGTCAGTTCTTCACATCAGGTGGCCAAAGTATTGGAATTTCAGCTTCAGCATCAGTCCTTCCAATGACTATTCAGGACTGATTTCCTTTAGGGTGGACTGGTTGGATCTCCTTGCAGTCCAAGGGACTCTCAAGAGTCTTCTCCAACACCATAGCTCAAAAGCATCAATTCTTCAGTGCTCAGCTTTCTTCACAGTCCAACTCTCACATCCATACATGACTACTGGAAAAATCGTAGCTTTGACAGATGGACCTTTGTTGGCAAAGTAATGTCTCTGCTTTTTCATATGCATCTTTGCTAACTCAAAAAAGTAAATAGTGATTTCATGTAGTCCAGCCTAATACAAATGATGCTGGAGAGTTTTATTTAACAAACACATTTGACTCAAATACTATTCTCAATGCTTTAAAAGTATTAACTTAGTTAATCCTTGGCAAAACCCCTTGAAGTAGGTACCCTTATGTTCATCATCAACCCTATTTTGCAGATGAAGAAACTGAGTCACAGAAAGATCAAGTGACTTGCCAGAGGTCACACGGCTGACAAGGGGGAGAGCTGGGATTTGAATCCTGAGGAGGGTCATAAGAATGAGGATATGAGCCCTTGCTTTCCTGTCCCTTGTCCTTGGCGTTCCGTCCTGAGAGTCACTTGTGCTGATGTAGTGGGTCAATTCTAGGCGGTGGTTTTGCAGGTTCAGAAGAGGCGTTAGGTTCTGCTGTGGCCAGAGGGACCGGGTCTGGCCTGGGGGTGGCCTGTACGTTGTCGGCCGAGGGACCGTGACACCCCCCGCCCAGCTCTTGCCAGTGAGCCAGCTGCAGCTGGTCAGCGCCCAAGAGTCCGGACCCACACAGGGCTCTTTGTCTTCGTGGGAACCCTGCAGCCCCCACGGCCCCGCTCAAGGGCCCACTGTCCCAGCACCAGCAGGGCCTCCCGGGGGCCCGGCCCAACTGGGAAACTTGGCACATTGCAGGCCTCCTGGCTACCCTGCCAAGCGGACGTGCAGGGCCCACTGAGGACGCCTTCCCACTGAAAAGAGAGTGGCGAGGCTGAGGGTTGCGTCCAGGCGGGCGCCACACCTGGGATCATGCTGGGGTCCCGGGTCCTGGCCCTGAGGTTGTGCGTGCCCTTGTGACCCAGGCCCAGCGCCCAGTGCTTCCTCCGCCACCCCCTGCAGCTCTGGGGGTGCCCTGCCGCTCCCACTACTGAGAAAAGGGAGACTTCCTCCCTCTTCGGGGCAATCTCAGTGCACCTAGGGTTGCCCTCCCGGAGCCCAACCAGGCTGCCCCGTGAGGAGTGGGCTTCCCACCCTGCCCAGGAACCTGCAGCCCTGCCCAGAGGCTCCAGGGCGCCGGCTCCAGGGCGCCCCGCCAAGGGGACCCTCCTCTGAGAACCCAACCAAGGGGATGCTTCCCGGATTGGGAAAATCACCCTGTCCCTGCCCAGTCTCTGAACTCCCAGGGGGCTCCGGAGGGTTCTCCCGCCCACCAGTGTGGAGAGGAGAGGGACTCTGGGGTGGGGGCAGAGAGGAGGGCTAGGACAGGGGGAGTTCTCCAAGAGAGGGGCATTTTGCTCTGAGCCAGGGTCTCCGTTTATCCATATCTGAAAGGAGGAGATGGCCACACTCTCACCCCTGCCGGGGCGAGGCAAGCCATGGAGTCCTCTCTCCAGGGCCACCGTTTCCCAGCGGAAAATGCAGCTCCCCGATCCGGGGCTCCGGGCCCAGCAGAATGGTTGGTGAAAGGCCCTCTGAAGAATCCTGGCCGCCCTGCGGTCGTGTCCTGGGATGTCCTTTCTCCCATCTACCCCCACTGCAGGCCCTTTGAACAGAAACCCCCATAGAAAGGTTCTGGGGCCTCCCTGGGTGCAGGGTAGGGGGTAGGAGGCAGCTGGGTGTTTCGGAAGGGGTGGGTGAGTCCTGGGGCAGGGGCAGGCCCCCTGCCTCCTGACGCATGTTTTCTTAGGGCGGGAAAGACAGCTTCCTGTGGGTGGGGCCGGGGACCCTGAGCTCTGGGGGAGCTGTGGGCAGAGGAGGGGACCGCCGTGTCTGCTGACTGAATGCACGACTGGCTCGAGGTTTTGGGGCCCAGTTTCTCTCCGAAGGCTGCTGAGGGAGGGAACCCAGGCTGGACGCATTTTTGAGCAGAGGGTGGGTCATCTCCCTTCCTGCTCTGTTCCTCTTCACCTGGGCACAGGGGCGATCCTGGGAGCGGGGACCGAGAGTGGGTAATAGCAGGGCCACTGGGCAGGCTCTCTTCCCTCCTCCACTCATTGAGAGCAGCCTGGCCCATAGGGCAGGGTTCCCCAGCTGGCGTTTACTGAGCATTTCCTGTAGCAGGCCTGGCCCTCCAGCTCCACACGCATGGACTCCTTCCGTCATCACACGGGCCCTAGGGGATTAGTCCTGTTTTGTTGTTACTGTTGTTTAGTCACCCCGTCACGTCCGACTCTTTGCGACCCCGTGGACTGTAGTACACCAGGCCTCCCTGTCCCTCACCATCTCCCAGAATTTGCCCAAGTTCATGTTCGTTGCATCGGTGATGCCATCCAGCCATCTCATCCTCTCCGTTCAGTTGCTCAGTCGTGTCCGACTCTTTGCGACCCCGTAGACTGCAGCACACCAGGCCTCCCTGTCCACCACCAATTCCTGGAGCTTGCTCAGACTCATGTCCATTGAGTCCGTGATGCCATCCAACCATCTCATCCTCTGCCACCCCCTTCTCCTCCCGCCTTCAATGTTTCCCAGCATTAGGGTCTTTTCCAATGAGTCAGTTCTTCGCATGAGGTGGCCAAAGTATTGGAGTTTCAACTTCACCATCAGTCCTTCCAATGAATATTCAGGACTGATTTCCTTTAGGATGGACTGGTTGGATCTCATTCTCTGACCCTCCATCTTTCCCAGCATCAGGGACTTTTCCAATGAGTCCTATTGTAAACAGGTGAGAAAATCGAGGTACAGTGCAAAGCATTTTGACCCTGCATTCCAAATTCTGGACCCAGGTCGCTCGGGGCTCCCCCCACCCCCACCTCGTGATGACCAGGGGGACAGCTCCGCTTTTGGTGGGAGGGGGTGGTGGACGAGGGTGTCGCCTGCAGAAGACAGTGTGCAACCCTGTTCGCCCTGGGCCTGGGGGTGGGGAGGACGGGCCTTGTCTTCTCTGCTCCCCGCCCCTCCGCCAGCGCCGAGGCCCCGCCTGGCCCTCCCGCCTCCCCGCCCAGAGGTCCCCGCTCGGAAAGTCCAGCGAATCCCCCGCGCTGTCCCCCCACCCGGCCCGAGGGCGGCGCGAACAAGCGGCCCTTTCTGCGCGCGGCTGCCCGGGACAGCTGGCCCGCAGCCCACGGGAGCGCGGACAATCCCGGGGCTTGTGGCCGGGGGCGGGGCGCCGGGGGTTGCCAAGGTGACCCGGGCGCGGGCAGCGGCTCGGGCTCGGCGCGGGCGGCACCATGAGCGGCCGGAAGCGCAGCTTCACCTTCGGGGCCTACGGGGGGTAGGTGCGCGGTGGGGGGAGCGCGCGCGCCGCCGGCGTCCGCCTCGGGTCTGGGGGCTCCTGGAGCTGTGAACCTGTGTGGATGTGTGAGGTGAGCGGTTTGGTGTCAGGGCCGTAACTTGCAGTGTTGGTAAGTCTGCGAGTGTGTGTGTGTGTGTGTGTTCCGATTGGATACCCCTGTGCACGTGCGCGGACGCAAGTGCCCGTGGCATTTCTGTGTGTGTCTCTAATGCGTGGCAGTGGTAGGTGTCTGACTGTGTGTGTGCGCGGACCGGCGGGCCGGGCCTGTGTGTGGGCACGCAGGGCGTGTGCATATAGGTGGGGGGTGGGAAAAGGCAGGTCCAGGGGAGGCCCTGCAGGGGCCCCCGACTTGGCTCCTGAGGCTGCCCAGCCCCTGCAGTGAGGATTTGGGAGGAGGAAACCTTAGAAGCCATTAGCTCCCGGACCCCAACCCCTGGGCACCCCGGCTGGCTGCCCATCTCAGTCTGCCTGACTCTCAGGAACCCCTCCTCTCGGGACTGCTGGCTGGAGACCTGGGTGGGGGGGCCTGGAGAGTTGGAGTGCCTGGTCCATCTTGGGGTCACGGTTCCTCCTGACCCCAAGTGTCCACCCCAGAGGAGTGCAGAGCTGGGCCAGGAGGATCCCTGTTCTATGCAGAGGTTTGGGACCTTGGAAGGGGTCTGGGGAGATAGACCAGCCGGAATCCCTCTCCTGGCTGGCCAGGAAGTTGCATGACCTTCAGCAGGGCCTGCCTCCCTGTGGTCGTAGGGACACGGGGACCCACCTTCCGGGTGCAGAGCCCTCGGGGCTGCTCACATGTGTAACGTTGCAGACCGTGGGCTCTCTGAGCTGTAGGGATGGTGTCCCCTCTCTGGGCGCCCGTCCTCCCCGGGGACGCCGCAGAGGGGCCGGGTGCTGTGGGAGACCCGAGAGCAGCCTTCCAGGCTGGGGGCTCTGTGCGCCATCAGGCCAGCCACCCGCGATCGGCCCAAGGCCTCCCGGTCCAGCTGACGCCGAGAGGCAGCGGGGCGCGGGGCTGCCCTCTGTCACGTGACCTTGGGCAAGTCCTGGCTCCACTGGCCTCCTGGGCCCCACCCACACGAGGTGGTCCCCGGGAGACCGCAGCCTTGCATCCCCAGTTCGTGTCTCCTGAGATGGCGGGTCCTATCTGGGGCCCCTTTCCCCTTCTGCTTTGCCCTCTGACCCAGGAAGCAGGGCTTGTTTGTTGTCCCAGCAGCTGCTGAGCCCTTCTGCCCCAGCGGAGTGGGAAGGTTGAGCCGTCCTCTACCCCAGGGCGCCCTCAGAGGGCGGTGGGGGGCCCCCAGGGAGGGGCGCAGCCGCTATACTCTCTGGTGTGGGGCCGGAGGCACTGAGGGGAGACTAAGCCTGGGGGTCGCCCCTGGACCCCGGGGGCTTGTCTCCCCCTGGCTTTGCCTCCCTTCCTCCTCACCCCACACCCCACGTCCCTAATGTGGTATTAGGGCCCCTGCAACCTATGGCGGGCGGTCCCAGAGCATCAGTGCCTCCACCAGGCCCCTGTGAGGTCCTGGGACCAGGTGGGAAGGGGTTGGCCTGATGTGCTGGGCCAGGCCTGGTAAGACGGGGCTGCCGGCTTACCTGCCCCCGCTCTCGTTGTGTTTCAGGGTGGACAAGTCCTTCGCCCCTCGCCGGAGTGCATGGTGAGTACTGAGGGCCCTCAGTACTGGCCTGCTTGACTGAGAGTTTGGGACACTCCCCAGCCATTTGTTGTTGTTTAGTCACTAAATCATGTCCGACTCTTTGCAATCCCAGGGACTGGAGCCTGCCAGGCTTCTCTGTCCATGGGATTTCCCAGGCAATGATACTGGGGCGGGTTGCCATTTCCTTCTCTAAGGGGTCTTCCCGACCCAGGGATTGAACCTCCGTCTCCTGCATTGGCAGCTGGATTTTCTTGAGCCACTTACCTGGATTTACCCCTGAGACACCTGGGAAGCCCTCCCAAGCCATCACCACCCCCTCTGATACCAGACCAGGCCCCACTGACCCTCCCCTCATCCTCTGCCAGTGTTGGATGGGCAGACCCTTTCACCAGCTCTGCCCCGTGTATTTTCCCCTGCAGTTCTTTCTAGAGCTCAGCCTTGAAATAAGACTAGTCAGGTTAAATCTCAGCCTGCCACTGCCTGTGCAGCTGTCAGCAAATCACTCATCTCTCTGAACCTCAGTGTTCTCATCTGTGAAATGGGGGTTAACATGCCTATTTAATAGAGAATAAAGTGTACCAAAAAAAAAAAGCAGGGCCTGGTATAGTGTAGGCCCGCAGTGAAAGGGTTTCCTTCCTTTTCTCTATACCTCCTGTCTCATGGTGGCTCCTGGCTGGGCTGGAGATGCCTTTGACCTTCCCACTGACCCTCAAACCCTCTCCCCTCTCCCACTCCATACAGAGCCTTCGGGACCCCCTCTTCCAACCCATTTCCTGTGTCTGAGGCTGCCTCTTTCTGGAGGAGGGCGTGTCACAGCTTCCCCAACACTGTGAGCAGTAGGTGGAGGTGCAGCCACACCTCGGGATTCACAGCCCCCCGCCCGGCGCCCCTGCAGGCGGGTGTCTCCTGGCTCCCCAGGACGCCGCTTCAGCTCTGGCAGGAGAGCCCCCAGCTGCTCTGGCTCCTTCTCTCCGCCCCTGCTGAGGGCTTCCAGGGGTCCCCTGGCCCTGCGGTGCCCCCCCAGCTGCTGGATCTCTCCCGATGGCCCCATTGCCTTACCTGCTGCCAGAGACCCCTAGGGAGCCACACCTGGGGTGGGAGGCACAGGCTGAGCATCAGGGCCTGCCCTTTCTTTTTCTTTTGACATTCTCTGCCACCTGGAGTCAGTTACGTTCCCTCTCTGGGTTTTCTCTCCTGCTGCTGGGCGTCTCCTATGTGCAAAGTCAGTTGGAGCCTCCACCATGTGCCAGACCATATGCCAAGCCCAGAGCAGGGGCAGGGTGGGGAGAGAGATGGGTGGAGGTGAGGAAAATGCCTGTTCCTTCAAGGAGTTCAATAATAGTGTCCCAACAACTGCCGCTTGTCAAGCACCCACTGTACCCCAGGTCCCATTCGGTGCTTGACCCGCATCATCTCACACGATCTTTACCGCATCTCTGAGGCACGGACGGTTGGCCTTAACTACAGATGAGATCATGCTGCACAGAGGGGGCAAGGGACTTCCCCGAGTTCACGCGGCTAGTCGGTGGCGGAGCTGGGATTTGAATCTCCATCTTCCAGGCTCTGTGCAGAACCCAGACTTTCACTCGCTCCACCCCTAGGACCTCCAGGCCAAAGGGCAGATCTGATAGATGCACTCGAGGGGCGATTTGGAGCCGGAGGAGTGACTCAGAAAGCTCATTCCAGGGAGGCCTGAATGAAGAGTCAGAGATGAAGGTCTAGGAGTGAGAGTAACTAACCACTGCGTGACCTTGGGCGAGTCCCTTCCCCTCTCTGGGCCTCAGGTGACACATATACAAAGCAGGATTCTGGGAGGACCAGGACTCGCCCATCGTCCACGATGCCTTGCCCCACCCACGCCTGCCAGAGCTGCTGTCCATGGTGCTAGCCCCTGGGCCCTCCCTTCCCCCATCGCCAAGCCAGTTGCTTCACCTCCAGCCTGTGCCTGGGCACAGAGTTTGCGCTCTGTAAATGGGCAGTCATTTTGACTATTAATTATGATTTCCTGGCATTCAAGGTCTGTCTCTGCCTCACCTTCCAGCCTGGGACTCATTTCTCTTATGCGCTGTGTTTCTGATTAATAAGAATGTGGCCCCGTGAGCCCCACCTCCAGGCTTCTGCTCACATTGTACCCTCCCCTTGACCTGCCTTCCTCTCGCATTTCCTCAAGGCCTCCTTTAAAAAATATTTATTTGGCTGCCTCCCTGGTGGATCAGACGGTAAAGCATCCACCTGCAATGCGGGAGACCAGAGTTCAATCCCTGGGTCGGGAAGATCCCCTGGAGAAGGAAATGGCAGCCCACTCCAGTACTCCAGCCTGGAAAATTCCATGGACGGAGGAGCCTGGTAGGCTACAGTCCATGAGGTCACAAAAAGTCGGACACGACTGAGTGACTTCACTTTCACTTGCTGCGAACTCCTAGTTGTGGCATGTGGGAATCCAACGATTGAACCTTCACCCCCTGCACTGGGAGGCAGAGTTTTAGCCACTGGGCCACCGGAAAAGTCCCCAGCTCACCTGTGTCAGTTTGTTGAGTGTTTCCTTCCTGATCGCCACACCCCCTCTCTCTCTCCTTGAACACCTTTCTGCTGCTTATCATGCTTATAGAGCACGTGCTCTATAAGCTCACTCCTGGGGCAGTGGAAAAAGCATGGCCTTTGGAGTCTGACAGACGTGGGCTTGACCCTGCCTCTGCCACATACTAGTGGTGAGACCTTGAGCAGGTCACTTCCCCTCTTGGAGTCCCACTTGCTGCTCCACAGTATTCGCTGACTTGGGTCTTTCAGTGAGTTGACCTCAGCTGTGCTGAAAGTACGCATGTAACACTGTGCCACAGGCAGGCTCTGAGGCCCTTGAAAGCAGAGGTGCTTGAGTTACTTTTTACTTAGGCCCACTTTTCGACATGAATCCCATAAAAGCTGGGCTGTACTCTTCTCATCTCTCTGTCCTCCACACAGTCTTGCCCAGCTACCTGAATGCAGGAAACGCTTAATGAATGTTTGTGGGATTGAACTGAATGTGTCCAGAGGATAGAACAGGTGAAAACTTGTCAAGTAGGCTAGGAGGGCTTCCTGGAGGAGGTGAGGTTTTCACCACCTTTTTTTTTTTTTAAGATTAAGAATTAGGAGCTTGGATCAAGTGAGCAGTGAAGCCTGGTAGAGGCCAGGTATGATCATAGCTGGATTCCCCTACCCTCTGCCCCTCATTAGCAGTCTGCAGTGGAGGAACACACAAGTGTGCAAGTGTTGGAGGCATGAGGCCCAGTGGGAGGATTAGGAGTCCGTGTAGTGGCTCTGACGTCCAGCCAGAGTAGCGGATTAATCTGGCTCTGGGCTGCAGCCATAATGGACATTAAACATGGAGGCTTCCCTGATAGCTCAGGTGGTAAAGAATCTGCCTGCAATGCAGGAGACCCCGGTTCGATTCCTGGGTTGGGAAGATCTGCTAGAGAAGGAACAGGCCACCCACCGCGGTATTCTTGGGCTTCCCTGGTGGCTCAGCTGGTAAAGAATCCGCCTCAATGAAGGAGACCCACTCCAGTAATCTGGCCTGGAGAATTCCATGGACTGTATAGTCCATGGGGTTGCAAAGAGTTGGATATGACTGAGCGACTTGCCCTTTTTCACTTTGCACTTTCAGATGATGGAGTGGGGCGGAGCAGTGTCAGAGTTGGGGAATATCTGAGCAGGGCTGAAGAGGGAAGCAGGGTTCTGGAAATACCCTGAGAAGAGGGGCGTCAGCTTTAACCTAAAAGCTGGGACCCTGGGAGGAGGAGGCAGGACTTGGCAAGGATTAAGTGCCCGTGTGTGCTGGACATTTTGCTCCGGTGGTCTCATTAAGTCATGATGATGGTCCTGAAAGTTGCCTTAGCGTCTTCATTTTGAAGGTCAAAGCCAAGACTGAGGATGTTGAAGACTGGCCCAAAGTCACACACCTGGCAAAGGCTGGATCTGAGACCAGCTTTTCCTCCTGCCAAGGAAGTATGTTGGCCAGAGACATGGAAGCCACAGAAATGAGAGAAATCCTGGTTATGGGGTGAGGAGGGGAGATGGAGAGTGAGATGATCCTGAGGACTTACGAAACAGGGGTCACTGCCTGGCCTCGTGTGTCCCCCCCAGGAAGGCCCATCTGGTTACTGAGATCCCATGGCAGTATCGGTACCATCTGCTCCCATATATGAAGCATTTTCTGGGTCCCAGGCCCTGGGCTGAGAACTTCGTTTGAATTATTTCATTCTGTCCTCACACCAGCTTTACAATGTAGAGACTGTTAATGTCCATGTTCCATTTTACAGATGAGGAAACTGAGGCTCCAAGAGGGGACCTGGCTGTCCCCGGGCACAGTGAGTGAGGGGTGAACCAAGACTGGCAGCACAGTCAGTCTGAGCCCATACATTTAGCCCCAGCTCTCCTGGTGGCTGCGGAGTGGGGGGCTTGAATGGGCGGCCCCTGTCCTCAGGGGGCTCCTTTCTATCATCTCTGAGCCAGAGGCTCCCGGGGGCCTGTGTGCTGCTGCAGGAAGCACGAGGCTGGCCTCATTAGTGGCTCTGAAATGCCAGGTGGGCCCAGCCTGCTTGGCCTCCTCATCTATTATGTATCTGGTGGGCAGGCCCCTGGTGGGCAGCTCGCAGAGCACAGGGCGGGGGAGCTAGTTGCTTCTTCCTGTGCCCACTGCTGCCACCGCGGCTCTGGGCAGGGATCCCCCAGCCAAGGTTCCCAGTCTGGTTGGCCCTGCTTGCCGCTACATCCCAGCGATGCTCAGGCTCAGTCCTTTTGTTCGGGAGGTGCATGGAAACAGAGGACTCTGTTTTCAGGCAGATCTGAGTTGAGATACCAACTTCAACTTTTCTTCCTCGCTGAGTGGCCTTGCCCAAACTACTTTGCTTCTCTGAACCTTGGATTGTCCATGATAGTAAGAACCAGGCTGCTTACCCCAACGGAGGACTTAGAATGAAATCAGTTCATTGTGTGGACTCAGTGGATGTTTTTCCTCTCTGTGA